TACGCGCTATAAGATAGAGTCACTTTTGCCCAATTGATGAATAGGATATCAGATTTTGCCACTTATTTGTAAACTCAGTTTCCGTGTGATTATACGATGGGCAATGAGATGGATATTAGACAGCACAGTAGTGAGCAAAGCAGCTTAGCATCACCGCACCACATATAACAGTGTGCAAGCCTGTTTTCACAAGACTTTCGGTTTCATGAAGCCAGATGAATAAGCCATCTGATCACTGCTACTCCCCCCCACGAGGGGACCAGGACGAAGAATAATAACCGAATAACCTGAGAGAGCCAAAATCCGAATAGTCTGAAAATTGCGCTTGCTTATGCTGCCCGAGATGAAACCTCGAATGCTATGCAAACTAAATGCTCAAAAAAGTCCGAAATTTGATTTCTGAATGTTGTCCGAATGATAAAATACCGGCTGATAATTCTCCTGTTTGCTTCCAAATTTATGTGTTCTTGTCCCTTGACGAAACTTATTATTTTTATGCTAGTCCGAAAAACCAGAATTCTGGTTTCAGGTATTGCAGAAGTATGACACTTAAGAGTAACGAATAGCAAACAGCTAGGTGAGTACGGTAAATAAATACTCAAGCGCAAGAGAGTCATTCGAAGAAGACGTAATATCTAGTGCGGGCGCCTCTAAATTGTCGTGTGCGGCCTATCAGCGCACATGCTTGAGTAAATTCATAATTTCCGGTCAGGGTTATTTGCCTCACCTCATCTCCGACTAGAGGCGCGCGAGGGATGGCTGAAACCAATATGTTATTATTATTAACCAACATCTGTTTCACTCCACCATCCTAAGATGACAATACCGGTAGTCATCGGTCCTATCATAATGGGCGTCCTTCAGAAAGCTTTGACATGACATTTCACTTGAGGAATGTTGCTGCTTTCCGCTTCTACCTGCTTCTCGCCACTGTACTTAGGCTGGCTGATAACTTCCAAAAGGACTTCGAGTGAATGCCCGCCCTTGGGTTTATATTGGCATCACCGACTCGCATGTGGTAATACTGCTGACTCCACCCGAAATATCTGTTGCTCTTCCACTAAGTACGAGTGCCAAAAGGCCCAAACACTGCTAAATATAAGGGTAGTTTCAGTGATGGCTGATCCTATCGACATAAGGTTGGAGGGATATAGATAGATAGATAGATAGATAGATAGATAGATAGATAGATAGATAGATAGATAGATAGATAGAGTCAAGGTCTTGAGTAGCTCAAATGCAAGTCCGTTTTAATGAAAAAATTCCAAAAGGAGAAGGAAATTCACTTCAAGTGTCACGGCACAAACACAGGGCCTGTCTTTGTCGCAGCCAGTTTTATGGACGCAGATAGATGCGGATTTACTACCAGTATTCTACGCCTTTTACGAAGATGAGTACAGTTGCGAATCTTATAGGGGCGAAAACTTTCGACTCACAAAATACGAAATTCTCCTATTTGCTACAAAACGCTGCTCAGAACCACGTAGAAGAGATAGAGAATATAGACATCTGTGAGCAAATGAGCGTGTCAATTCCTCCAACTCTTCGAAAATCGTAGTTAGCTGCATCCGTAAAATAGAGGAATTTTGATAGTGACAAGTCCATGATAATTGTGAGTGCAAAACGTGGCGGGGATTTATTGATGTTGGGCTTAATCGTCTTCAGCGCAATCATTCTTTCGAAAAACCAGCAACCAAGTGACCACGTGATATGAAGAAAACACGAGTAAGTAAATTACATCACTAATCAGCTGCTCATAATCAAACGGCTTGATTTCCAGCTAATAACGGGAAGAAAATGTAGTACGTTTGGATTCCATTGGAGATCCGTGAAATGGGCACAGCACAAATCGAGTTCAAGATCAGACGAAGATTTCCAAATTTCTTCATACCATAGTTGTGCAAGAATGCAGAAAGGCTGTCAAAATACACCTGAAAGTGAACACGAGTTTTTAGTGTCCTGCTTACTCGATGGGTACCAAAACAGCTGAACCCTCGTGCGTCACATTTAATTATTTGAAATACATGCCTAATCTGCTACTTCTGTGACTAGTCAAATAGCATTTGATAGTCGCTTGTACTTATAACGAGACATTTTTGCTGCTTCCACTATAGGCAAGCAGATGGTATCGCTTAGGTAATTATGCTCTTGGCACCCACACCGCTACCAGTGCCTGTTCTATATGTGTATTGCTTAGACTGATAAACATAGTAAATTGTTTTACTCCCGAGATCCGTGAATAATATCTTTTTTCAAGGATGCTGCAAAGCGTTACTTTCATGGAGACTTGGTCGTTTAGACCTGAAAACAACGAGGGAAATCCACTACCTAAAAACCTGGCCTTATTGTAGCTTTCATATAACGAGACATTTTTGCTGCTTCCACTATAGGCAAGCAGATGGTATCGCTTAGGTAATTATGCTCTTGGCACCCACACCGCTACCAGTGCCTGTTCTATATGTGTATTGCTTAGACTGATAAACATAGTAAATTGTTTTACTCCCGAGATCCGTGAATAATATCTTTTTTCAAGGATGCTGCAAAGCGTTACTTTCATGGAGACTTGGTCGTTTAGACCTGAAAACAACGAGGGAAATCCACTACCTAAAAACCTGGCCTTATTTGTAGCTTTCAACTTTTCGATAGGGGCACCCGATAGCCTAAAATCATTTTAGATAAAACCAAGTCAAAAAATAGTGTTTGAGCTTTCGCGTTATCATCACTCCGGAATCCTTGGAATATCACACAATGTGTAATGATCACGCCATACAGTATGACGTAAGTAAGTCACGTCGTCTTCAGAATACGCATTTGTTTTGGTTCAACATTTAAATTTATGGATTCTCTGGCGGCAACAGTGTCTACCGAAAAACGACTGTAAGACCTAAGCACCACCGCTATTCAACATTCGGTACAGAGCAAGTGTGCTAACCGGAAGAAATCTTACACCCTGGTTCTCTGTTTCGTCTTGTAACTCGGTAAACTGCATGCCTACTCACCCGGTTCGACGAAGATTTGTGTCAGATGCAAAACTTTGTCCAGCTATAAGCGCTTCGGAAAAGATAACTTACTAAGTGGCTCCAAATTTTATATAACTAATTTGAATTACAGACCATTTTAATCGCGACATAGTGGCCTATCCAAAGAAGAGGAATTCATCCGAACTCTGATAAAGAATTACATAACCGTTTATTTTAGACCTAACCACTCCTATTCGGTCGAACATGTTTCATCCAGCTAGCACCACGTGACGCTGATTATCTTATCATGGATTTTGCTAACAGTTAAAGGAAGAGCTCCTCAGAGTGCAGGCGGCTAGAAGCCATCTAACACAAAAGTAACAACTTTATTTGCACAGTTCGGAAAAGTCCATATCCACAAGTGTGTTGCCGGAAGTTCCACAAACGTTCAACCAGAACATAAGGGTTACGGAATCTTGAAGGCTGCCCCCTTCCTGGTGGTCCCCAAGAAGGACGAAACCGGTCGTGGGTTGTCAATGAGCTGTCAGCAAACCTATCAGCCGTGTGTTTCCTGGACTTTGTTTGAACATTAAACGTTAATAAACAAGCCCTATAAAAAAGTTCGATGGTTCTTCATATCAAACCTTTTTCAGATGCTTAGCATTTGACCAGATGCCACGCTCATGTTTTATCAGTAGTATACACCACTACACCAAGGCTGTAAATGCACTTTCTGTGCCACGTCAAGTAATTGAAAAGGGGTCGCTATTGTTGTAAGAAGGTGAACTTTGGACAACGCTGATTGCTACTTTTCTGTTTCTCGTGCATACTGCACAGCACTAGAACGTTTCAGTCGGATGACCATGTGTACTTGTCTAGTAGCCGATCAGACGCCGGCGAGACGAAACTTTAGTTATTTTTAGGTGCTTGATCAACCACCTGAGTCCACCTGAGCAATCGCCCATGGCATTTCGAGAACTGAATTCCCCATCATCGCATTTTAAATGGGGAATCTGTAACGTTAAGCCAATAAAAACGTCTGTAAGGACCACATTTTTAGCTTCATTAACTGTTCATTCCGCAAATGAATGACATCCGTCAGAAGCCATTAAGGCTTTTCCCAGATATCATCTTCGAAAAATAACTAGTAAGAACACTAGAAGTGGTAAACTGCAGGGCTGACGCCAAAGTAATTGAGACCATACCAATCAGGCTAAATAAGTTCATTGATGAAACTATCCCCGCATAACCATCTCCATAATGAAATCGGAAGACGAAAAGCATGAGTGTTGTTTATTTTTTCTATGGTGAATTAATGAGAAGGAGTTGTCGCCATGAGCCCAATATGCCACTTAGCTCCCACAGTATGCTAAGCACCATTATTTTACCGCAAGATCACATTCAGACAACTATACTCAACAATCCAATTACCCATATAGGTACGAAATTTACCATGTTGCCTCAGAATATGTCAGCGTTTTCATAGTTTACCAAGACATGTTTCCGGAGCTCACTTGTATGTCCGGCTATGAATCTGACAGCTTACTGTCTGCCAAAGTTGTTTATGTCCATTTGGATTTGTAGTGACAGATGAATCCAGTGTGATTTAAGCTGCCTCGTCGCTGAAATTTTTGCCGTCTTATGCCATTTAAGAAGCTTCATAGCACTAGTCATTCAAGGAGAATATCTTCAATGGTCGGCTGCGTAAATGCCTTAAACTAGGTGTGAACTTTTCAGACCATTTTAATCTTTATCTCTTCTCAGTCGCATTATTGCTTCAAAGTGTGACGTGTACACATCATGTGCTAACCTTATGTAAACTAACGGATTCTGCCACACCTATATTTATCTACCATATTCATTCACTATTCAACACTGACCCTACATGAATCACTCATGTGATACACGCGTGAGGATTTCTGAGAGCAACACAAACAGGCTTCGCCTGATGACTGCCCATTTTACGCAACTAGATGAACAAATCACAACACCTGTCAGCTGCCGTCGTTACCATATCTGGCTGTACAGGACCTAACTCACCACGGAACATCTCAGCGGGAAGAATATTTCTTTGACTATCCAATTTCCGGACTTGGAGCGTCCAGGCTTCCTCACAAGTGAACATTCACAAAGAAAGATACAATTGTAGGTCATGACCATCCCTTCCCATGAGGAACTTATCGACGCAGTACAATCCCACGTACATCGTATCGTCTATGAAATTGTTTTTGATCGTGTACACCGGGCAGGCAATTAGCCACTCTTTTGCTGCAAGGGAAAGTCCTTTAGAACTGATATATTGATGAGCAAAGATAAAGGTGAGACTATCCACCTCAACATCGATGAATGGTTGCATCCAGAAAAGATATCTGATGGTGGTTTGATGACATTAGCTTGTCGGTGAGTGCTAGGTGATCAAAGTATGAGACAAATACAATCGCAAAACGCAATGTAGCAGTCACAATGGCGCATCTATGGGATGCCGTATACACCAGCATTACCGTTCGCAATTTCCGTTCAGTTTTGTTGTTAAACCAATAAGAATGTCAGTCACTCATAAGAGCCATCGTGAAATTCTGAACACACGTTGACCATCACTGAGTTCTTTCACGATATCTTCTTCTGTTCAGTACGGGATTAAGAAACTAAAGGCGAACAAGGATGTGATAAACTGCGGGTGAGATGCAAATGCTGCTTACACCGCGATAGCTTTGTCTGAGTGGCCAGTGGTCTTGCGAGCGTATTTGGAACCTTCAATTCGCGCACGAAAGCTGTCCGAGTGCACAGACTCGCGTGGACAGGCGCTGGGTACGATATTAGAAAAGTGGTGTTAGTATTAACCACTTGGCTGGTGCCAGCCAAGTGGACAACTGTTGCGCTGCTATTAGACAGCGTCAATCCGACTGTCAGCAAAACGGGTTATGCTCCCTTATCGTCTCACATAACTGTCGTTTCGTTTGCCCTATGTATTCTGTTGTACATTGACACGTGAAGGAGTAAAATAGCATGCATTGAGCTTGAATCGTTGTCTGACGAGCCAAAACAAACACATACGGGCGGTCTCAAATACATGCAGCGATAAAATACTGAGGTGCACGTTAACTGCGTTTACATTTCTTTCGTGTACACGAATGTGAATATACAAGGCAACACACAGTAGATCCAATCATGTTCATGTTATAATTTGGCAGACTTTGTGATCTATTCTTAAAATCCTCCTGATTTCTCAAAAAACCCGGAATTACTAGTTACATCCATGAGCTTTATTACCTTTAGGAGCAAAAGTTCCCCTACAGTAAGTTAAAGAATACGGTTGGAAAACTTCCAGGTGAACTGTGTTCAAATTTCGGATCAATGAAACTTAAGGTTGCTAGTAAGCAGGGATAAATCAACACGTGAACAAAATGTAAACTGCGACTAGCAGACAACAATTACGTTTAATATGTTTTCTCACACTGCAGTTTAACTGCTTTGTGTTTCATCCTTAATTGCAGAGTTCTCGTTCCCTGTCTGTTCTTGGGCTGCCTTGGCTCTCCCTGTGTTAGGAGAGAATTTGGTCAGAGTTTCAGTTTCCACTTCGTGCAAGAATAACATGATTTTCGCGCAATCTGCATGCTTTTATTCATGAACAAGGAAAAGATTGAGGTTTGGTGCTATTAAGTACTTCAAATCCTTATTTGCAGGAAAGAATCTCTACGAAAAATTTAAAATCGTGCCACTACAATTTCAGGTCCCTGAGTGACTCGATCGACCGCCGTACAAGTGTTTATTGTCTGGAAGTTAGCTGAGTTGATTTTTACAGAAGCCCACAAAGTAAATCAGAAACCGAAAAAACAGACCAGGGTTGTTCAACTGTCTTCAATACATCACGCACGAAGCATTCTTAGGATTTACGTTAACATTATGTTCTATCTGAAACAAAATTGGAGAGAGCAAGCGATACACACTCAGTTGCGAACTAATTTGGTTTTGATGGGAGACTCAACTGAATCTGAGTAAATTTTTCGTTTATGATGTTCTGTTTTAGCTGACGGTGTTGCATAAGACCGAAAGTACGATACGGATTTCACGCTGTTAGTGTTTCAATTCAGAGTCTTCATAATATTCATAAGGAAATGTCTCCCAACATTCTGATCATCTAGCGAAGAACACTGTTTTGATGACGGCCTGAAAGCACAATCGATTTTCGCATATTACGACAGGCACTTTTTAGAGTAATTCCTGGGCGAAACCTCCATTGGCTGTTTTATTTATAGACCCGCATTCCTGTCACAGTATTCGCTAGCCGGGAACTTTGAAAGGTTACGAACATATCGGCATTTTTTTCAAATGGAAACCTGCGTGCATCAATAATAGAATTTTTAGTCGGGTATGTGTGGACCAAAATCACTTGAGAAGGGTTATTTAGCTAGGTTTCTGGTGATCCAGTTCGGCAATTTTCGTTCAGTGGGTTGACTAGAGGAAAGAGGTTTGCTTCTCACTAGAAAAACTGTGTAGGGGACCAGTGTATGAGAGGTCGATTTTTGATGACACAAGCGGAGTTTTAATTGTGCTGGAAATGGAAATGGGCCAATAGTTGTTGAACTGTTTACTAAAATTGAAGGTTTTCATTAGAAAGAATTCGTTCTGTAAATGATGTCAGTATATGTTAATGCCTCAGAATTACCTTACAGCCATTTCATCGTTTTCATCATCGTCAGCCTTGGGAAGCTCAGGAGTTTTCAAACTCACGACTTCCCGGTTAATAGTTGAGGCCTAACCTTTTGATTACGGATAACTGCTCAGCAGTTCGATACACACGCAGTTAGAAAACAGCAACGAAACAGTTCTGACCGTTGCCGAGTTGAGTTTCCTTCAAACAGATGTGAGAAATCTGTTGACAGTTGGGTCAACATTCAATGTAATGTGCCACAAATGTCTGTCCCGAAAATCGACTCAATAACCAAATAGATGGACCACAAAAGAGTTCACGGCAGAAGTACATGCTTGGGAGCGTCTATTCTGACAATGCTTCCCACAGAATAGGCGGAAATTGACTTCAGGCTGCTGGTCCGATCAGTAGGTTGAGTGATTTGGTTGCGAACTGTTTGTCACAAAAGATAATGCTATAAATGTAGCGATGTGCAGTGATTCAGCATTGCCCCACATACAGTAGATTCCTATGTAACTGATTCCTAGAATAACTTTGATAGAAATTGGTTTATTTATTAAAAATTGTCCTGGGTTTAAGATCACTTTAGTGCAAATAGTAAGGTTCTTGTCAGACAACTTAGGTTTATCTTCCAACACACAAAAAAATGGTTTCAAAGGCAAAATTATACGAAGTGCACGGCATTCGTGTTCAGATGATGTGGCTGTCTCAAGAAAAAGAGGTGTGTTTCGCACATACCAAACTGATCAATTTCCCTACTTAAGAATATTTTAAGTGTCACGGTTTTCCGACATTTGTACAATGTAATGATTCTGTGGCGCCGCTTTGTTAAGAGTGATTCATAAAACGTTCGTTTAAAAACGTTGACTCCAAGTTTGACTCTAAGTGTGAGGGAGGTTGTATACAAAATGCTTAGAATTACACGTCCCCACTTAGTTTCAACATCCTACCAAAATGCTAGAATCAAAAGCGCCAAAACTTTTTAATTGATTTCGATTATCAAAACATTAGAAACAATCAGTATATTATTAAATAACTGGCAAAGTATCCGTTTAAAAGTGAGGGACGATTTATAGACACAAAGATGACAACCCACGAAAAGCGCTGCGTAGAAAATGGATGGCTAAGCGAGATTGGACAACAGATAGCTCAAGATAACACGAGAACTCACAAAGCTACCAAGTGACGCCGCAAATTCAAAAAAAACGTTCGTAGGATTTTCCAGAACTTTCGTCGCGAGGCCTTCCAGAAGTTGATCAGTACACGTAGAACAATTTGAACCATCCTACCACTCTTACCGGGATGTTAAAAATCATGTTTTCGGAAAAGAGACTTTACAAATTTATACATTGACTGCTTTTGTACACTATACCGGGTGAAGATGAAGGGCATAAGTTGGTTGCTGTGATTCGTTATCAGCAATGGCTGGATGACTCCATTGGGTGAGAGGTAACAATATTGCGTTTTTTCTATTTAAATGTCACTCATGTGTCTACTAGTGAAAACTATTGGCAGTGAGATGCATTTCAGCAATTTGTAAGCGCATGGGATTGCTGTAAAGCACTCAGTACTGCTTAATCGCCAAGCAGGTCCTTGTTTCAAGTATAACTAGAAAAACATGTGAGAATAGTAAGCGCCATCAGTAAAAGCGTGACTTGTTGCAACATTTACCTGCAATAAAATGAAAAGCAATGTAAAAACATTTCTACGCTCAGTGATACTTATCTTAGACGAAATGCCTGTTGAAAAGCACCGGAGACGTCGGTAAGTTATTACTAGTTGTTTACAATTTTATCAGCCCAGAGGTTCAAGTATAGCTCCAGTTAAATCCGGGAAGTGTGAATCCCATTCAGCTGGAGTATCTGTTTGGAATTTCACGTTTTTTGGCAAAGTAAATGAACTGGAAGAAATGAGCTGTTAATCATGCTACGATGTATTTACCAGAAGGCCAGGATAATTATTGCTAAAATCCACAACAAAGCGCTGTGGATTACATAGAAGAGAACAGTGTTTTCCTGTCTCATTAAGTGGGTAATTACTAGCTTGTGAAGTTGACTTAAATGGGATGTGACGAAAGAATTTCAATTGGAGTCTAGTGATTTGATGTGTCGCCTTATTTGGTTTTACAGCACATTCCGCTGATTATTTTTGCTATCTTCCTGTTAGCGATAGGGATAGGCACTATAGGCGGTATGGTAGTGCCATTGTATCACAATCTAACTGATCAATAAACGTCATCCTGCAACCCTGTGATTCAGTCATAGATTCATTTCACGTTTACGTCCACATTTACTCACTTTTCTTTCATCATGCCGCCTTTAAAAAAATCAAATGTTTGATCTCTTATCCAAACGCTGGCATCTTGCAAATTCTTCAGGTGACTGAAGCTAAAGAAACATAGTAACAATGATTCAACTTGTGATGTTGAACATACTACGGGTTGTTCCATTCAAAAGTAAAATCAAGTGTTATGA